GAGCCTTTTCTTCCGTTTGCCACCCCCTCGCCCTCCTCCTCCCCCACCAAACTCTAAGACCCCGAGAGAGCAGGGCTGTGTCATCTGTGTAGGACGCAGCACGATAGTTGCACGTGACGATCCAGGATTTTTTCACTCTAAAACCATAGAATAAAAATGACATCCGGGCATCTGGAAAAATGGAAAGATACCATGTAGTAGGGTCTGTGTGCCAGACCCTCTATAAACATTATCTAAATCTTCAACTCTCTGAATAGACAACAGCCTGGTTTTAAAGGTCAGCAAACTAGCTTGAGTGATCAGGTGCTTCAGGAGGGCTGACTAGTCGTGGGCCTGGGTTAGCATCCCAGCTCACCACCTATCAGCTGTGACTATGAGCAAGTTCTTTTAAACTAAGCTTCATTTCCTTCATATGTAAAATAAAACTAACGGTTATCTACCTCACAGGATTGTTCTAAGGGTCAAATGCGATAACCTTGGTGAAGTATTTAGTGCAGTGCCTGGCGCGTAAGGAACAGTGAGAATGTTAGCATCATTCCTGTTGACCCAGATCACGTAGCTGTACCTGTCTCTACAGCCTGTGTTCTTTCTCCACCCCCACACCGTCTCCCAGGCATGGAATCCTTCCGTGTCTGGAATATTCTGAGCTCCTAGACTGGAGATGGTATGTGCGCACTGGTTGGCGAGCCTCCCCATCCAGCGTAACAGAGAGAAACCTGTGTCTATGCAGACACTCACTCGGCTTCCAAGGTCAGTCTAGGCCTGTTCCATGAGGTGAGACCACAGGCCTCACTTCCTGGAAGTGGTAGGGCTTTGGTTCCTAGACGGAGGCAGTCACAGAACCAAGCACTGTGGTCAGCAGAGGACAGGAGATAGACAAAACGGTGACCGCAGTCTCCAGCTGAGGCGGGAGTGGAGAGTGTCGGTCTGGAGCGCCTGGATTCGAGGGAGCACAGCTGAGTATGACCTTCCTTGGTCTGCTGACACTCCACTGAGCCGTCCAGACCCACTTCACCTCCTAGGCCTCCTGGCTTCCATACCCCCGCATGGCGCTCTCCAGGCGAGCACGGAGCAGCTAACACAAGCCGCTGGCCAGTTCCCATGCCTTCCTCCAGAGACCGGCTGAACCGCCCAGAAGGACCCTGAAGAGCATGCTCCGGGACAAGCAATAAATAAGAAAAATACAGAAAAGAGTTCCTCTTTGGCACAGGACCCCGAGGGCCAAGCCCATATGCAGAATGCCAGTAGTTTTCACTTCCACGACTGCATTTAATTGTGGCCCCAAAGGGGGCAAGATCACAAAAGGGGGCAGAGGGGGCTACCAGCTCCTACAGAAGGGGGTTTCCGAGTGGCCAAATGCTGCAATGAGAAGCAAGCAAGCAAATTCATATATAGGAAAGCTGGGCTGAAAAGGAAAACATGTTTGGAAACCACAACTGTGAATGTTTTATCACAGCAGTGGGGGTTGGCAGGGACCAAAGGTGGATGATGCCTGTGGGGTGCTTTTGTCTTAACTCTGGAATAAGCCACTGGGCGGTGGGGAGGGTGTTATAGTGGGGCTCGGGGATCCCCCTGAGCAGTGACCTCCAAAGTGAGCACACACTCCTGGGAATATACAAGATGTACACTGGGAAACAGAAAAGAATTATTAGTCCATGCCTTCATATTTAGTTTTCCTCTTTTCTCATTTCTATTTTTTAATGTTTTGTGATGTAGAGAACATGCTAACACAGGAACAGATGTAAATAACTGCTAAATAAATGAACATAAACTGGAGATGCATACTCAAAAATGGATCGAGTTCTGAATTTCCCTTAAATGCATTTTCAAGTTTTTTTTTTTTTTAAGATTTTATTTATTTGACAGAGACACAGTGAGAGAGGGAACACAAGCAGGGGGAGTGGGAGAGGGAGAAGCAGGCTTCCCGCGGAGCAGGGAGCCCAATGCGGGGCTCGATCCCAGGACCCTGGGACCATGACCTGAGCCAAAGGCAGACACTCAACTGACTGAGCCACCCAGGCGCCCCTCAAGTTTTTTTTTTTTTTTAAGATTTTATTTATTTATTTGACAGAGAGAAAGCGAGAGAGGGAACACAAGAGGGAGAAGCAGGCTTCCCACTGAGCAAGGAGCCTGATGCGGGGCTCGATCCCAGGACCCTGGAATCATGATCTGAGCTGAAAGCAGACGCTTAACGACTGAGCCACCCAGGCACCCCGTTTTTTTAAAAAGTAATCTCTACACCCAACATGGGGCCTAAACTCATGACCCCAAGATCAAGAGTCACATGCTCCACTGACTGAGCCAGCCAGATAGCCCTCCCTCAACTGTTTTTTTTTTTTTTAAAGATTTTATTTGTCAGAGAGATAGCATGAGCACAAGCAGGGGGAGCGGCAGACAGTGGGAGAAGCAGGCTCCCCACTGAGCAGGGAGCCTGAAGTGGGACTCCATCCCAGGACCCTGGGATCATGACCTGAGCCGAAGGCAGACACTTAACCAACTGAGCCACCCAGGCTGCATTTTTTAAATAAAAGATCTATTCAGGGACGCCTGGGTGGTTCAGTCAGTTAAGCGTCTCACTCTTGATGTTGGCTCAGGTCCTGATCTCGGGGTCCTGGGATCAAGCCCTGCATCAGGCTCTGCGCTCAGTGGGGAGTCTGCTTGAGGATTTCTCTTCCTCTGACCCTCCCCCTGCTCACACACATGCATGGATACTCTAAAATAAATAAATCTTAAAAAAACCACCCCAGATTTATTCATCCACGTCAGACACTAATTCTTACCTTCTCTAGTTAAACCTGATAAAGTACTACTATTAACCAAGGAGTCTAACTTCCCACCAGTATACCTAGAGATTCTCCTGAGAACAAGCTGGATTCATTGCTTGGCCGTGACCCTGTAGGGGTTTCTGAGAACACGGGTTGTGTTGCTGTTCCTGCTGTCTTAACAAACGTGCAAGAATACCGTATACTTGACATCCCAGGTGGGCACGAACACCCGGAATGCAAGAGCCTCCTGCTCCGGCAGGGCAGAGGCTCCAGAAGGCTGGTTTCGTTCTGCCGAGGAGGGCCCGCCTGTGCTCAGAAAACACACAGCTCCTGGGAGGCCGTGTCAATGCCAAGCTGGCAGGGGATGCCGCGCCACGGAGCTGCCACTCGGTGCTACCGGCAACACGGAACCAGCAAGTCCAGGGACACGACCTGGCGTTTTGTATTTCTAGTACTTGACCAATGGGCTGCCACAGGAGGTATTCAACAAATACTTGAATTAAGTAGTTTGTAATTGCTGAATCCTAAAAGAAAAAAAAAAAAAGACTTCTACCCAGAATCACTGCTATCGCCTCACCGGTTGGCGAGCGCTAGCCTGAGAACCAGAGATGTCAACCACTCATAAACGTGTCCTATCACGCATTCCAAATCCAAATGTATGGTTTTTAAAAGAAGATTTATTTATTTTGAGAGTGAGCAAGCACGTGAAGCGGGGAGGAGCAGAGGGAGAGGGAGAGAGAGAAACCAAAGCAGACTCCGCACTGAGCAGAGCCCGACATGGGGGCTCAATCCCACGACCCAGAGATCATGACCTGAGCCGAGACTGCATCAGATGCTTAACCAACTGTGCCGAGGCGCCCCTCGAATATGTATTTTTAAAAAATTTTATTTATTTGAGAGAGAGAGAGAGAGCACAAGACGGGGGAGGGTCAGAGGGAGAAGCAGACCCCTGGCCGAGCAGGGAGCCCGATGTGGGACTCGATCCCGGGACTCCAGGATCCTGACCTGAGCCGAAGGCAGTCGCTTAACCGAGCCACCTAGGTGCCCAAATATATGATTTTTTAACCTGTTTTTAGGCAGTGCCTTTTCTTTTCTTTTTTTTTTTTTTTAATATTTTATTTGACAGAGAGAAACAGAGAGAGGGAACACAAGCAGAGGGAGGGGAGAGGGAGAAGCAGGCTTCCCACGGAGCAGGGAGCCCGATGCGGGGCTCGATCCCAGGACCCTGGGACCATGACCTGAGCCGAAGGCAGACGCTTAACTGAGCCACCCAGGCGCCCCTAGCCAGTGCATTTTCTTTCAGAAAATAATCAAGAATGGACAGACTTGCAGATAAACATCCTGGTTGACTGACTTTTAACCATCAGTCTAGCTCCCTGGATAGGAACCATTCTGTAGGTACAGAAACAACCACCAGACTTGTTCACTTTTAGAAACCAGAGGGTGGGGCATTTTCCACGTGGTTGCTACTAGGTTTCATTTTGAAACACGGTTAAAGCAGTTATAGAATTTTTATTTGCATGTTACACCTCATTAACTTACCTCAGAATTAGTTCTCTTCCTCAAGACGTAGCTTACATTCTGGAGTTGTCAAAAACATCTTTGAGGTAGTTTGCTCTCCCACAAGAAACAACTGATTACGGTGGCCAAAGGCTGTAAGCCTTTAGACAGTCTCATTTTTTTTTTTTTAAAGATTTTATTTATTTGAGAGAGAGAGTGAGAAAGAGCGCGCGAGAGAGTGTACACACAAGAGCAGGGGGAGCGGCAGAGGGAAAAAGGAAAGGGAACTCCCTGCTGAGCAGGGAGCCCGACGTGGGGCTCGATCCCAGGACCCTGGAATCATGACCTGAGCCGAAGGCAGACGCTTAACCGGCTGAGCCACCCAGGCGCCCTTAGACAAGTCTCATTCTTGAGGTAAAACTGTAGGTTATCAATTCAGTTGTGACCACATATTGCTAGAGTCAAGATTAAGGTCCACTTTCTATCTACCAATGGCAATGCTAGATGCTTTGCAAACATTGTTTTACTGTTTTCACAACACATCTATGAGGAAATGATACAGTTGTCCTCATAAATAGGGAAATGGGAGGCCCTCAGAGCTGACATAACCTGCTCAAGATCCTAACTAAAAGGGGAAAGCCAGGATTTCAAACCCAAGTCAAGCTATGCTACGCGCCTTAGATGATAAAAATAGTAATTATACCAGCTTAGGAAGAAAAATAACATTTTCACACATTCTACAATAGAGCTTTTATTAAACATAGGGATGTACTTTTTAGTATGAAATCGAAAGAACATCTTTCTCCCCTCTGCCCTCATGAGGCCACCACTCTAGAACTTCATAAAAACACACTTTCGGCAGCAGTCATGACAAGGTGAAGGAAAGTGCAATTCTGAAGATAACACCATATAACCAACTGAAGGGGGGAACAAAACCAGGCAGAGGTTAGTGGGTTTCTTGGCTAGCTCCCTGCTGAAGGCCCTAGTCCTGCTCATCTTCTCTCCACAGGGAACATGATAGGAACAGAAGTTCCTGACTATTCTTTAAGTAATAACCGCCCAACTCCCTCAGTAGCAGAGTTCTCCCACTTCCCTCTGTCCTAATGTTGTAAACAGCTAATTTGTAACTTTTTTTTTTTAAAGAGTTTATTTATCTGATGGGGGGGGGAGAGAGAGAGAGCGCGCGCATGAGAGCACAAGCAGGGGGAGGGGCAGAGGGAGAAGCAGGCTCCCCGCTGAGCAGGAAGCCTGACTTGGGGCTTGATCCCAAGACCCCGGGATCATGACCTGAGCCAAAGGCAGATGCTTAACTGACTAAGCCACCCAGGCGCCCCGATTTGTAACTTCATTAAGAAAGTCCACCCAGAGGTTTATATGCTTGTCAAGTGCCCAAAATTGAGCTTCAAAACACAAAAATAACAACAAAAAACCAAAGAGCAGTAAGTTTCAAAAGGATGTTAAATGAGACCCTTCCTAGATGAAATCCTAGAAATCAATTGGCCAAACAGATGCATAGCTGGAGACAACAGTTTATGAAAACAGATCCAGCTGGAAAATGCCTTGGGTACTCAATTAGATCCAGTTAGTCTGCATCTGTGGATTTAAAATGATCATCGTCCACAGTGGAATAGATGTGTCCCTCGTTGCTAAGAAAATCCACAGCTTGCCTAGAAAGAAACGGAAAAAAAAAGGCTCATTTTCAAACCGATGCAGAAGAAAGGAAACAGACTTTTGGATATGGCCAAACATAGATTTTGCTCACTTCCCACTCTCTACTTTGCTAAGAAGTCACAGCCATTTCACTCACAGAGGGCTCGTACAGGGCGAAGTGCCATAAAAACTGCAGAAGTGAGATCATGATGGAGACTATGGCTATTAGAGCTGCCTTGGACCCTGGTCCCAAACTGTGTAAAGGCCAGAAAATAGAGCCTAACTCAAACGCTAGTCATCTAAAAATGCAGTCCAGCTTGCACATGGAACTCCTAGCATAAATAGCTATTTTTCAAAGTTTCTTCTCCTTACCCACCCACCAACCCTCTGGGAAGTAAAGCTGTAGGATGTAAAGGAAAGGAATGCAGGACAGAAATGGGAGGACACCTTCAAACCCTTCAAGATCTTCAGGATCAGTGTAACATATTTAATAATGTTTACTAACAGTAATTTAATAACAGTTAACATTTATTATTTTATTATTTTTAATAATAGTAATAATTTATAGAGCAACTACTACGTGACAGTGTTTCTGTACCTCATCATCACTGGATCTCTGGGAATTAATCCTCTGGATATGATTAATATCTTCATTTTATAAAACAGGAAATTAGACCTGAGCTTTTCTTTTCTGTGTAAACCTAGAATATCAACTGATTTATTTACAGTAACAAGTAACTATCAAAAGCACCAAAATACTCAGCTTGTTTGATTGGCTCATCAGAATCAGGAAGCTGCTCGTCTACCATGGAATCGGAAGGAGGTTGGAAGGACCGATAGGGTTTCAGGTCCAGACAACCAAATGCACATCTCCACAGTGGAAACAGTAACACCAATGGGACTGTCCATCTGAGGGCCAGGAGCTAAGGATCTCACTCCTCCACACTGAATTCCACAAGAGGTCAAATTTTATCTGGTCAATTTTGTTCAAAGTTACATCCCCTGCACATAACGGGAATCACTATTTGTTAAATGAATGACTGAATCAGTGATGTGCCGGGTAGCATCATCTTTGTGAGTCCTTTTCCTATCTTTCCATGACCAAACAACTTCCCTTCCGTCAATAAAGATGGCAGCTGACAGTTTTATTTTTATTTGTAATTCACTTCTCATTACCAGGAAACCCTGCTAAGGTAAAATGGGTACAATTCTGGAGCCCCAGCTGATAGAAACCAAATACTCACTTTATTGAGGCTACAGTCATGTGTTGGAGCTGGTTCTTGAGATCATGAAAGTTTAATCCTTCAGGTCTTGGACAAGCCTTAATCAAATTCAACACCTGAAGATTCAAATGAGAAAGATTTGAGCAACTACTCTAAATCAACTCCCTTATGTAAACATGAGTGTCCCCCCCTGCCTTTTTTTAAGATTTTATTTATTTACTTGACAGAGACACAACGAGACAGGGAACACAGCAGGGGGAGTGGGAGGGGGAGAAGCAGGCTTCCCGCTGAGCAGGGAGCCCAATGTGGGGCTCGATCTCAGGACCCCAGGACCATGACCCGAGCCAAAGGCAGCCGCTTAATGACTGAGCCACCCAGGCGCCCCTAAACCTGAGTCCCTTGATAAGAAAGAAATGAGTCAGGTCCTTAGCCTTAGAATCATTAAGGAAGTAACAATTTTTTTTTTTTTTTTAAAGATTTTATTTATTTATTCATGAGAGAGAGAGAGGCAGAGCGAGAAGCAGGCTCCCAAGCAGCAGGGAGCCCGATGCGGGACTTGATCCCAGGACCCTGAGATCATGACCTGAGCCAAAGGCAGACGCTTAACCATCTGAGCCACCCAGGCACCCAAGGAAGTAACAAATTTAAGACTGTCTGTGCCTTGAATTTCTGGAGCCACTCAGTGTTTACCTGGTTTTGGGCCACAGTGAGGCCATTTGCTGGCATGGAGCTATTCCCACCAAAGTTCCCTGTTTCACCCATTCCTGGATTGCTGATAGGTGCTCTCCCTGCTGGGGGCTGAATTAAGAAAGAAGTTCACAGCATCAGAAAAATTACCAAGTTAAACACAGTCCTTGTTATTGTGTTATAGCCTATCAATAAGCGCTCACAAAAATAATTTAAGCCGTTTTCCCAATAACAATTGCTTACATTGGAAGGAGCAACTATCATCATTAACGAGTATTTCTAAGGAAGATAAAGTGATTCTCTGAAGCATATATTATCAAACAGAGAGAGAGATACCTCCTAGCTCCTTGTTTTTGTGCTGTTGAGGGGAATCAAAGGAAAACTAGCACCAAGAAGAAAATCACCTGGAGATTTGCTATAATGGTATCTATCCTTGGTACTTTATTATTCAAACATGCACTCGCTCACTCATTTATTTATTTTTGGGAATTCTTACCTTGTTCCTGATTTTATTATTATTAAAAAGTTTTTTTTTTTTTTAAGATTTTATTTATTTATTTGACAGAAAGAGACACAGCGAGAGAGGGAACACAAGCAGGGGGAGTGGGAAAGGGAGAAGCAGGCTCCCCGCTGAGCAGGGAGCCCGATGCGGGGCTCGATCCCAGGACCCCGGGATCACGACCTGAGCCGAAGGCAGATGCTTAACGCCTGAGCCACCCAGCCACCCCAAAAAGTTTTATTATTGAAATACAGTTGACACACAATGTTATATACATTAGTTTCAGGTATATAACATAGTGATTCAACATTCTATACATTACCGGATGCTCACTCTAAGTGTTCACCCATTTCACTCACCACCCCCCTCAGGCATTTACTGTCACCTAGGCATGAAGCATGACAAGGAGAGAAAAACAAACAGTTCCCATCACTCTTTGCTCTTTTTTTATTACCAAACTTTTAACAACAGACTATAATCACTGTTTCCATTTCCTTTCTTCTTAGTCACTCCCCAGCCCACTATATTTGCACTCTCACTGAATATACCTCTGAAATTGTTCTCACCGAAGTCACCAATGACTTTTCAACCAATATGCCCAATAGTCTCTTTCAGTCCTAACGCTACCTCTCAGAAAGACACGCTGACCACCCTCCTCTTTAAATGTACCCACCGCTCCCTAGGTTTCTTGATAGCATGTTCTTCTGGTTCTCCACTTACTTCTCAAACTCTACCTTCTCAGTATCCCTTACCAGCTTTTCTCTCTACCTATCTCCCAAAAGACTGATAGCTCCCCCAGGATTCCATCCCAGACCTCCTCCTGGGCCACAAATTCTTGTTCCCAGCCATGGACTGGATACATCCACCTCGCTCTCTCACATACTGAAGTAAGATTACGACCCTCCCCAAACCTGCTTGCCCTGCTCTATCCCACCTCAGTGAGTAAAGCTAACCTAATCCTGCAGACTTCAGTCATCTGTGAGTCCATTCACTCACCTCCCACAGTCTGTAACCACAGCCTATCACACAAGCTTCAGTGTATCTCAAGTCCCTCTTCCTCACCCTGGTCTCCTGATGGCATCTCAGCAGCTAGTCTCTTCCACTCCAGTCAACCTCCCTCTTTGCTACCACATTAACAGCTTTGAATCCTGTGCCTCCTCTGGCTGGAAAGCTTTCAGGTGGCTCCCCCTGCTGGTGAAAAGATAAACCTAGACATTCAAGACCTACCACAACTAGATGTCAAAATCTGTTTTATTCTTGACTGTTCCTTCTTGACACACTTTACTCCCCAGCTGCACCTGGACTTCTTGCCAACTACAAACATGCCTCTGCCTCGAACATGTTCCCTGTCTAGAATGCTCGTCCCCTCATCTGCCTGGTAAACACTGACTTCTCATCCTTCAAAGTCCAACTTAATTTCCACTGCCTTTGCAGAGCTTTCCAACACGCCCCAAGCCAAGTCAGCCATGTTCTTCCTCCTTGGCTCTCACAGCAGCCATCACACTGTTCACCTGGCACTTTCCGCCACAAGTTCCTCCATTTTCACAGTGCCTGGTGCAGTATGTGCTCAGTCAATGTTTCATCCACCGGACTGAATAAATAAAGATGACAGAACATCAAACGTGTTAAGTACTCTTAACAGATATAAGAGCACTGTGGAAGCTCGTTAGGAGAAATCCCATCTTGTCAGGAGACACATTCATTCAATAAATGCTCATTAAATGTCTACTGCTTTGAGGTAATAAACAAAAATCAATTGTGGTCCCTGTTTTCAAGCTAGATGCCTTCACGTTGCCTGCTGGTAAAACAGAAGTCTCACATTTTATGATCCAGTAATACTGAATTGAATGCTATTTCTTTTTTTTTTTTTTTTTAAGATTTTATTTATTTGCGAGAGAGAGAATGAGAGACAGAGAGCATGAAAGGGAGGAGGGTCACAGAGAGAAGCAGACTCCCCGCTGAGCAGGGAACCCAATGTGGGACTCGATCCCGGGACTTCAGGATCATGACCTGAGCCGAAGGCAGTTGCTCAACCAACTGAGCCACCCAGGCGCCCCCCTGAATGCTATTTCTTACCCAGATACTCCGCTGAAAGGGCATCATGCCCTGCTTCAGGTAACCCCACCTCACGTATCTTTCAGGACTTGGTTTAGGCATCACCTCCTCCAAGGGGTCTTTCTTGATGTCCAGGTCAGGACAGGAAACCCTTCACTGTGGTTCCACAACACCCTGTGCTTGCCACTTATCCTGTTTTTACTGCTTAAGTGATCTGAATCTCCACTGCTCAAACACAAACTCTGTGGGAAAGGGGTGTTTTATTTACTCCTCAATATAACTGTCTATACTTCCAGTTTCTACTCCCTAACCACCCATTTATTTATTTATGAAATATGTGATACATACATATATATGTCATTAAGTATGGTAATAAACACCCTAAACTTTCTACCCAATTCCGTTCTTTTTAACCCACTTCCCTCATCCTCTACTGAAGCCTCCCTTTTGAAGATCCAAGTTTCCAAATCCAGTAGCAGACATCTCTCATCACCTGCCTTGACTTCAAGGCAGCATTCTACAGTTGATCACCTCCTCCCTCCTAAAATACTCTTTTCAGAATATTCTACAGAATCCCATTTCCTGGTTTCCTCCTGCCCAACTGGCAACTTTTTTGACTTCCACTGGCTCCTGTTTAACTCCAGACTTCTAAAGGTTACTGTGTCCCAGAGCTCAGGTCTCTGACCTCTTAACTCCCCAGTTATCTCATCTCATCTGAGGCTTTAAATATCACCTACACGATGACTCCCAAAGTTCCACCTCTAGCCCTGACCTCTCCCTTGGATCCCACCTCTACATATTCAACCATCCATTCTGTTCTCCACTTGGATATCTACCTGGCACCTCATACTTGCTAAGTCCAAACAGAACTCTGGATTTACCCTCCAAATGTGCTAGCTTCACTCAGTTGCTCAAGCCCCAAACCTAGAAGTCGTTTTTGAATCCTCCCTTTTTATATCCTATATTTGTAACCCACCAAGAAGTCCTGTGAACTCTACCTTCAAAATACATCAGAATCCAACCACTCCTTATCCCAGCTATTGCTACCACTCCCAGATTAATTCTGTTGCTATTCCTGGTGCCTCATCATCTACACTCCATACAGCAGCCCAGCCCAAGCAAATTTTTTAAAAGACATATCAGACCATGTCACTCCCTAGCTGAAAACTTCTAAGGGCCTAGAATAATGACTGGTACATACCAGGCTCAATAAATATTTCTCAAAGGAAGGAATAAATTAATGGATTTCTCTCTGTATCCCCAGTGCTTACCCAACTGTTTGGCACAGAATAGGATGCAATAGCATCCTTAGTGGCTCATGAGTTCTCTAGCCTCTCCTACTCTGTAACCAATAATCCTCCACCTGGGCACCAGAATCATCTAAGGACTTTTTTTTTCTTTTTTTTTTTAAGTAGGCTCCATACCCAACATGGGGCTTGACTTCATAATCCCAAGATCAAGAGTCACATCCTCTACCATACCAACTGAGCCAGCCAGGTATCCCAATCTAAGGACATTCTAATACAAGAATAAAAAACTCTGTGTGGCCCTAGATGGACTGGCCAAATGGAATTTACACAGCAGAAAATAATGTTGAGAAATTTCAGTATGAAGCAGGGAAGATAACTTCAGGGACAAAATAATGGTGCCTAATTTTTCCTATTTAGCCAACAGGTTAGAAGAAAAGCAGTAAAATGCTGTCCCCGTTGGAATATTTCTCTAAATATAATCCTGGAGCCAAGCACTCAGCCTACAATTATGTGTCTACACTTGAAGGTTGTCTCAGGCCTCGATCTTCCAAGTCAGTGGGGTTAGAGGAACTTGTAATTCTGAGAGAAACAAGAGTGCTTCCTTTGGAATAAAGTAACATGGCAAAGCTCATGAAGAAAATGTTCTGAGGACTGAGTGAGGCCTTTCTTCTGGCTCAACCTTCAAACGTCAAGAAAATCAAAGCCAGAGAAGCCAGAAGCTGTCTGTTTTTCCAGAGAAGAGGAAAAACTCTGAGGGTGAAGTTGCTCACCTGGCTGTTAGATTTGCTCAGGATCATGTGTGCATTGACAACTTCCAGAATATGTGTGGTGAACTCATTCATATCCTCCAGAGGCATGATCTTAAAGGCTACAAGGCTTTTTTTGTTCTAATAAAATAAAGAGAAAAATGTGAATAAAAGACGAGCACATTCAAATCAACCTTAGCTTAAAACACCGTGGCACTTGTCTTGGTTATAATATTTTGCCAATATGGAAAAAATGTGTTATATACTTAAAATTTTTAACTCAAGGTTAATCCTAATATAGTCATTAATGGGAGAAAAAAGCAAAATCAGCTAAGAGTTGTTCAATAACTTGCCCAAGGTTACACAACAAGCAGAGTATAGTCTCCTGACTCCTAATCCAGTGTTCTCCCTTTTACTCCTAGTGGAGGTCACTGATGGCGATTATAGATAGGGATCCTGTTCTTTCTCTACCATTCTATTAGTTGTGTGTTTTCTCTTTCTTTCTTTTTTTTTTTAAAGATTTTCCACTGAATGTGGGGCTTGAACTCAACCTGGATATCAAGAGTTGCATGCTCTTCTGACTGAGCCAGCCAGGCACCCCTCCGTTAGTTCTATATTAAGCTAAAAACCCATTATTTCTCTTTGAAGAGAATAATGAAGTAATTTCAACCTAATTCCCATTTAACAGAAAGACTTGGTTCAATCTTAAGTATCCTAAACTGAGGCATGAATCCAGAAATTGCTTTATGCAAATATATATGTTATATATTTTTAAAAAGATTTTATTTATTTATTAGAGAGTGAGCATATTTTCTGACTTTACCTGAAAAGATCTCAGATGGCCAGCTACTTTCACATATGTCTCTGGAGGAACCACTATGTTTTCACTGCTGGCATCCTAAAAGATAAATAGAAACATATCACATGAAGGTTTAAGGTTTGATGAAACTTTAAAACAGCTAAAAAACAAAACAAAACAAAAAAACTGCTAAGTTATGTACAGAAAGAGGGCATTATAAAGTAAGAGCACTAAAGGATCCTCATGTGGCACTAACTAGTTTGCCTACCTTTTAGAATTTACCTTTTTAGAAAATCAAGCATTAGAATAAAAAGACCTCTAAAGATAATTTCTAGTTCCAAAGTTCTGTTATGTACATCATCAAAAAAGCAAACAATTATGCACTCTTGCTCAATGCTGTTGGGCACACAACTTTCTGGTGGATATACTTATCAGCATAGCAATAATACATTTAGGAATTTAAGGAAAAAAGAACATGCATTAAGATTTAGCTTCTTTCTTTCTTTACTTACTTATTTATTTTTAAAGATTTTATTTATTTGACAGGGAGAGAGCATGCGTGCATGCACAAGCAGGGGGAGCGGCAGAGGGCAGAGGGAGAAGCAGGCTCCCCACTGCACAGGGAACCCAATGCGGGCAATTTTCTTCCTGGAATTAGCAGCATGGAGGACCTTGCATTATCCTTTTGTGCTTGCAATATGTCTCTTCATCTTTCCTTTTTTTTTTTTTTTTTTTTTAAGAATTTATTTATTTATTTGAGAGAGAGAGAGAGCACAAGCCGGGGAGTGAGAGAGGGAGAAGCAGACTCCCCACTGGGCAGGGAACCCTACACGGGGGGCTCAATTCCAGGACCCTGAGAGCATGACCTGAGCTGGAGGCAGACGCTTAACCGACTGGGCCTGTCCCACAACTTGTGCTTTTTTAAGTGAAAATAGTATATACAAAGTGTTTATGATCCAAATTTTCTATAATGATAAAATATAAAAAACCAAGTGATCTTTTACCTAATTAAAAATAAAACGAAGAGGGGCGCCTGGGTGGCTCAGTCATTAAGGGTCTGCCTTTGGCTCAGGTCATGATCCCAGGGTCCTCTCTCAGTCTCTGTCAAATAAATAAATAAAATCTTTAAAAAAATAAAATAAAAAGGATAAAAAGTATAAGTTTCCTTTTAGTTTATTTTCTCCATGTTTATACAGATACATACACGTTGCTTTGCAAAAATGGGGTCATACCATGTATACCATCTTGTAACATGCTCTTTTCCTCTCAAGTTTATGGTAAACACTTTGTAATAGTATATCCATTTCTATATCACCTTATATCATAAATATATCATGGTTTAATAGTGCCCTATTGCTCGCATTTTGAAATTTTTAAAAAATAATTCTTTTCTCTTTTTAAAGATTTTATTTATTTATTTGAGAGTGAGAGAGACAGAGAGAGAGAACACAAGGGTGAGGGGCAGAGGGAGAAGCAGACTCCCTGCTGAGCAGGGAGCCAATGCAGGGCTCGATCCCAGGACTCCAGGATCATGACCTGAGCGGAAGACAGACACTTAACCGACTGGGCCACCCAGGCGCCCCTGAAAAAAAAATTTTTTTTTAAAAGATTTTATTTATTCTTTTGACAGAAAGAGACACAGCGAGAGAGGGAACACAAGCAGGGGGAGTGGGAGAGGGAGTAGCAGGCTTTCTGCTGAGCAGGGAGCCCGATGAGGGGCTCGATCCCAGGACCCTGAGATCATGACCTGAGCCGAAGGCAGACGCTTAACGACTGAGCCACCCAGGCACCCCATGAAATTTTTTTTTTTTTTTAAAGATTTATTTGAGAGAGAGTGCACGCAAATGGGGGAGGGGCAAAGGGAGAGGGAAGCAGACTCCCCGCTGAGTGCAAAGCACAACTCAAGGCCCAATCTCACAACCCTGAGATCATGACCTGAGCCTAAACCAAAAGTCTGACACTTAACCAACTGAGCCACCTAGGTGCCCCTGAAACTGTTTTTAATTTTTCATTATTATAGACAATGCTATGATCAACTCTTACAACTGAATCTTTGTATACATCTTTAATTATTTTCTTAATGTAAACCTCTAGCAGAGAAGTGCTAGATCAGCATTTTTATGATGGATGATTTTGATCACCAGCTGACTTTTGAGGTAGGTTATACCAATTTATACTCAAACCATCAAGGTAGGATGGCATCCATTTCCCTTGACTAACAATGACAAATCATTCAACAAATATTTAGTTAAGTGCCTACTAAGTGCTAGAGGCACTGTGTTAGCTACTACTCTTACCAGAAGTGGACACTGTCATTCTTTTTTTTTCTATGCTAATTTAAATTAAAAATGGCAGGGCGCCTGGGTGGCTCAGTCGGTTAAGCGTCTCACTCTTGATTTACGCTCAGGTCATGATCACAGGGTTGTGAAATCGAGCCCCGCGTGGAGCCTGCTTAAGATTTTCGCTCTCCCTCTGCCTCTGTCCCATCACCCCTTCCTTCTCTTAAAAAAAAAAAAAAAAAAAAATCCCTCTTCCACAGAGTTTGCATTCTAATGTCTCCTGTCACTTGCCTTTTAACTTTGCTTATACTATAGTGAAGTTTGGAACATTTTAAATTTTTATGAATTCAAATGTATTAACCTTTCATTTTAGGGTTTCTGCCTTTGATGTCCTGCTTATAAATTATTTTTATACTAAGAAATTAAAAAGACCAAAAAAGTCCAACATCTCCAGAGTCCCAAAATAACCCCACCCTAATTCAAAAATAACTGCTTACATCTGTGTCAACCCACTGGCGAACATCCATGGGTGCAGCTGTCATGTCATCTATTTTGTACACAATGTTGGTTGGGGCCTTTTCTGCATGTCTGATTATACCCACAATAGTGACCTAGATCAGAAGAAAAAAGAAACGGTTGGTTTTCCTGGAAACTAAAACAACATTTATGTATTTTTAAATAAATAATTTTTGTTTCATTCTTCACATGATGAAGGGACTCTTCCACAAACTATTTTACTTACCTGTGAAATCTCAACATTCCCAATTTTGAACATTTCATCAACCAGAGTGGCAGAAAGCAGCTGAGATATGGTACAGGGTACAATGTGCTGGGCTCGGACCCTCTGAAAAGAAAATGTATAAATGCAATTAAGAAAATAATAATTACCACCCATTAACACATTTCATGTGCCAAGCACTTTACATACATCATAACATTGAATCTTCAGAATGAATCTCATCACCCTTGCTTCACAGAGATGGAAACCAAGATCATATAGCTAACAAATACCACACTTAAGAATTCAAACTAGGTGTGTCTGACTCCAAAGCTCCTGATCAATGGGTAAGTTTGTGTAGCACTATGGTTTCACTAAAATGAGCAGGCCAGAGTGGGGACAACATAAGGAAGGATGACCTGCTTCCGGGACAAAACTTATACTCCAGTTTTAGGACAAAGGCAAGCCAGAGCTGGCTGTTTAGTTCACCAATGACATGAGATGGTATTTGGAAAGGGTTTGAGAAATGGCCAGTAGAGACAGAACTTTGGAGTTGTTCTAAGTCTCATGATAAAATATAACAAAGTTCAAGGTATAGCTTTCTTAAGGACAGGTGCTCTGACAATCGGATGAAAGTCCTGGGGAAAATGGGATAAGGGCTTGGCCACACTGGACATCTTAAAGGGAAAGGACACGACATGTTGGGCAGAAGAATGTCCAATGAGGACATTGAAATCCCATTCAAAAGCAGCCTAACAACACTGTAAACTCTTATTGTCCTACCACTGGCCAGGGCTTGTCTCATGGCATAAAGATGAGAAAAATGGAATAGGATTTACTCTCAACACACTCCTACCTAATGGAGGCACAAATGTAAATAACAAACCGGTCTCGATATCCTATAGAATGAGATGCACTATGTGGGATCCCAGAAAAACGTACTGGCACTTTCAAGAGTTAGCATTCGGGCTCTACCCTGAAGTATGAAAATGTCGACAGTAAAAAAACAATAAGGGATGGGCATTTCAGGCTAAGGGTAAATATGCACTCTCACAAACTCATTTAGGAAATAAGTACATGGAAGAAAATGCATGGTGGATTAAAGATTCGAGTTCTTCTTGTCGGAAATCAACAACCTAATAGCTATCTACATGTAAGACATAACAGACTCTTTGCACTCATGGATTTAGCAGTTTCAGCTTTGTCCTGAAGGTCTATGATACTTGCAACATTTCCTTCTGCTGAAACCTCATTCTGAATGGTGAGTATTGCCAGGATGGTAAAAAGTAAGCACTGCCAACTGCCAGCACACATCACAAAAGGCAGCAGTGAAGCTTGAGGGTTAAGATATGGCTCTGTCACTCAGGAGCAGTGTGTTCTTGGTCATGTTTTTCAACTCATTTCTATCTTAGTTTTCTTATCTGTAAAACTAGGAATGATAAAATCATGAAAATTAAGTATATGGTGAAGCACCTAGAATAATACCTGGCGCATCGTAAGCACTCAAAAAATGTTAGCAAATGTTATCTGGCCAACTAGTGTTCCTCACCGTTTAGATCTGTAATGGCTTTTACTAAGGATGTGAGGAATCAACAACGCTTTTCAATTGTACCTTATGGAATTGTATAGGTGAAGTTACATGCAACACTGGTATCAATAGATTTAAAATGTGCTGAGGTCCCATGTTTTAGCTCTCACTACGATATATTGTTTCCACCTATCACTGGTGAGCTTTTCATTGTATTTTCAGTGTAAGAAAACTAAGAACCACTATTGGGAACAGAAACAAGAACATGGGCTTTGCTGCCTCACAGTCCTACAGACCTGTGTTCAATCCCAGCTCCATAGCCCTGGACATGCCACCACCTCTTCTGTCAAATGAGAATATCCACCTTCCAAATTGTAAACAAAACACATAATGGATATAAAAGTGCTAATGCTGGTTTCTACATGTAGTATGTATTTAACAAATACTATTACTCCTCAGATTAAAAAAAAGTTACATATGGGTAATGATTGAGGTGTTAGCAATACTTTCAAATTCATCTCAAATCACAGGTATTTCTTGTTTTTTAAGCACCTATTATTATTCCAAAGAGTTCCTGGTTTGTTCCAAAGAGATTCACAGAGAGTGTGTCAGCGTAAGTATATTTAATTTTTAAAAAATTCTTTTCTAGCTGACTATGAATCACAGGTTACTCTGACAGTATTGTATGAAACCATTTTTATGGGTAAAAAGCTGTCACTACTGAAAATTTCACATGGTTCAATAAAATGTAACAGGTTTACGGTAGATAGGAAACTGTTTAGATGGGTGTTTATCTAATTTACTGTGGAAAAGGCACTAGATTTAGAAACAAAAAGATCTGGGTTGAGTCTCTAGCTTACAACCATCATCATTCTCTGAAAAGCTGTCTTAATAGGGTGCCCAAGCTAGGGATCCCGAGAGAAAAATTCTATCTACTGGAATGAAGAGAACAGTTAAGCTCAGAAAAGATGAAAACCAATGATCTTTTGTTTTCTCCTTCACAACCTCAAGGAAGACAAAGAGTACTAGAGTCCCCACAGTCTTCCTGGGAAAAAGGAAACTGCAAAAGAGAAGCCGCTCACCAGATTTTGGATTTGCTCACCAGATTTTGGATTTGCTCGGCATCCTGTATGCAGTATCTAGTTCCACTTACTTACTAGCTATAGAAGCTTAGGCAGTCCCTTCACCTTCCAGACCCTCTGTTATACAATGGGATAAACAATAAATACCTTATGGGATTATATGAAATAATTTGTATGAAAAATATAAAGCAATGTCCAAATATATGGGAATTATCAATTCTTTCCCACTGACACACACCCCTGAATTAACAGTTTAGGTAAAAGCTAATCAACCTGTACAAAAAAACCAGAACCGGCTAATACTGAATCTTAACACCACATCTGAATGACACCTAACGAGTAGCCAAATCAACCTTGTATTTAAAGGATGCAATCAATAGCAGTTGTTAAATGCAAACTCTTTTCTGAAAGAGTGAATAACAAGCATTTCGACAGCTTTTTACAGATCACTTTCCTATATATTACCTTACCTTATTTATCAATTCTCAGCACCAGTGATGTACGTAGTACGGTACCATTATCAGATGAGAAAAACCAAGGGCCACAAGGTTCAAGTTGCTGTACTAAAGATACTGCCACTTAAAAGTTGATTCCAGACACTCATGTTCTTTTTAACAAAAATATCTGGGACCAGGGGTGTCTGGCTGGCTCAGTAAGAAGAGCATGTGACTTGATATCAGGGTTCCAGCCCCACGTTGGGTGTAGAGATTACTTAAAACTTAAAAAAATCTGGGACCATTTATTGAAAGTGACTACAGGGCGTGCACTTTATATATACTATATATTAGAATATTAAGTCTCACAACAGCCTTGTAAGGTATGCATTATTAATCCCGTTTAGTAGTAACCCCATTTGATTCCCGATGTTACTACATTTGTCCAATGAAACCCTGTGTGTCAGAGCAATGGTAGAACATCGATCTACCGGACTTCGAAGACCATGCTCTTTATCACCTCATTACATTTAATTAAAAAAAAAAAAAAAAGATTTCGAATACATGAAGAATGCAAATACGCTAGTAACATAGTCCAGTTTTCCCACAAGACTGATTCATTAGCTATATTGGTAAATTTCAAAATAAAGCCAATTCAACGGTGGAAGTTAAAGCAGGAGAAATTTCATTTTTTAATCTTACAGCACTTAATTCTAAGATTCGGTAAGGCAGTAATTGGTAATTATCCAATCAGTTCGTGTCTGACATCTTTCGCCGCATAAATTTTCTCTCAGGGGCGAGTTAGGAACTTCAGGACAGAATGAAATAAAACGAAATACTCTTTCAACCTACTGATTTCTTTTCAACCTGCGAAGGTGTCGGCGATCCAAAGCCCCCGGGCGACTGCGTGCAGCCGCCCGCTCCGCCAAAGGAGGAGCTGCTGTAGCTTTCAGATCCACCTGGTTTTAAACAACAGTATCAATGCCTGTGCTGCCTTCCAAGCTTCTGAACAACCCACAGGCCCCCTCAGACTTCACCCCACGGCCAACCACTCCCAGCATCGCCCTAATCTTCCCCACCACCTTGCCCTGGCCCCCCGCCCCTTCGCCACCCCTTCCCTCCCCCACTCGCACCGTCACACGCCTCCCCGACCCCCGCCCTCCTGCTAAATCCTCCTTGCGACTCTCATCCTTACTAAACCACATCTTGGTCCCGACTCCCTCAGGAAAGATGTCCCGAAGACGCCTGTCTGGTGAGTTCGTCTAACTCCTCAGACCCCTGCTGCGGCCGCAGTGTTAAATCCACTTCCCGCTGGTGCCACAAACTCCTTCCCGCGAACGACGGAACCAATCAGCGTCCAGAACGCTTCTTGCCTCAGCCAGTCAATGCTCACGAACTCTACGCTTTTTCCTGTCTTACCTGGCGCGTTATGAAAACGCACACTCTGCTGCCGAGGGGCCCGGAAGCCTCTGCGGCCATTTTTACTAAGGGCAAAACAAGCTGCGCAAGCGGAAGCAAGGAGCGGCGAGAGGCTGATAGGGCGTGTCTCAAGAAAACAACCAATCAAAATGATAATTCCGAATCTCAGGTCGCATAATCCCACCCCCGTCAGTGAGCGACACTTTACAGCACTTCCTTTGTTTGGCGTCCTCCTGTTCCCGCCAAACTCTCACCAATCAGACGACGCCTTAATCTACACCGCTACGGCGGAATTCTTGCTTCGGCGACTCCGCCTCGCCATCGTGCGGCGCTTGCGCATCTGGGGCCCTACCATGCTGTCTTCACTGCACGTCGTGGGATTGAAAAAAAAAAAAAAAGCAAGCCAGGTTTTCTTCTTGTATGGGCATTCCCTCGTCCTGATTTTCCCCAGTAAGGCTGTAGGGAACATACTACACCCTCTTCCCCAGGACATCCTTTCAAAAGATCTGAGGATCGCATCGCGCCCCTGCCCCCTTCCTCTCCCCAGTCTAATAGGGTTCTGGATCCCTGATTATTTAAACTGTTCTTCACGTAACATTGTTCTGTCCTCCTGTAGAGAGAACACGTCTGTCATCTCCTTCCTCTACATATCGCTAGATTGTTAGGCTCCCTCACACCTCACTTATTTTGATAAAAAGTATTCATTGCTGCCTTTTTTGTTCCAGGTTCTGTGCTGGCCACTGGGAGTCAACTGTAAATAAGATAGACATGGTCCCTGGGTTCCTGGGCCATTTTATTTTTCTAAAACTGTAGGCACTGTCTTAAATACTTTACATTTAGTAACTCAGTCCTGTGAGGTCGGTGAACACCGTTACTGTCCCGGTTTTACAAAGGAGGCAGCCAAGGCAAAGAGAGGCTAAGTGGTGGAAGTCTGCATTCAAGCCCAGGAAGTCTGATTTCATCAACCAGTGTAGTCACTGTACCTTCTTGAACATCCCACACCTGGGGCACAAACTCAAGTTGACAACTGGGGTCAGGCAGGAAAATTGTAAATGTAGTGGGCTGGATAATAGAGGGAATTTTTTTTTTTTAATTTTATTTTACTTTTTTCTCCACAGTGAGAAAAACAACCACACAAATACAATGGTAAATAGCAAATGACAACAAATATGGGTCCAGTGTTGTCATCTATATATTTTTAGCAGACTCCAGAAATTTTGATTTTTGTGTAAAAATTTCGGAATTTTTCGTGTTTTTAAGTAAATTTAAAGTTTTAAAAACAGCATGTGGGCCAGAGAAAAGGTATCTGTGGGACAGACGTTGCCTGTCTGCCACCTCTTATCTGTGTAAATTTTGTAAGCCTCCAAATCATCACTGAAGAATAAAAAAGATACAGCTGAGGACAGAAATCTGAAGCATACCATGTTATATTAAGCATAAGGTGATTGAAATTGACATAGTCTAACAAGACCATATTTCTGATATATAGGATAAAATGTTTGAAATTAAGAGTATTCTGGGAAATTTAAGATGTGGATTCACTTGGAGTAATTGGGTTCATTTGGGTTCAATTAGTTATAAATTCAGCTGAGAAGATCATACATTTAAGGGATATGGGGCGCCTCAGTGGCTCAGTGGGTTAAGTGCCTTTGGCTCAGGTCGTGATGCTCAGTGGGAAGCCTGCTTTTCTCTCTCCCTCTGCCTGCCTCTCTGCCTGCTTGTGTTCTCTTTCTCTCTCTCATTTATTTATTTATTTGACAGATAGAGACACAGCAAGAGAGGGAACACAAGCAGGGCGAGTGGGAGACGGAGAAGCAGGCTTCCTGCTGAGCAGGGAGCCCAATGTGGGGCTCGATCCCAGGACCCTGGGGTCATGACCTGAGCCGAAGGCAGTGCCTTAACGACTGAGCCACCCAGGTGCCCCAATAAAATCTTTAATAAATAAATTTAAAAAATAAAAAAAATAAAGGAAATGATGGCATGGCAGGTATAAAGGGTGTGACCAAAATTAAGGAGAGGTGGCAAGAAGCTGCAGCCCACACTGACCTCTCTTTTCCATGGGGATTTGTGTCACTCTGCTTGCGTCAGCTCCTAGGGAGATCTTTTACTTGTGATCACACCTTCAGAGTTGGAGCTTACTCTGCTTCCTGCTAAAGATCCCCCTGGGAGTTGACAAGGATGTGTAGCAAGTATTTTCTTTCTTTTTTTTCCTTAAGATTTTTTAATTTATTCATTTGAAACACAGAGATACAGAGAGAGAGAAAGAGCGTGAGCAGGGGCAGAGGCAGAGGGAAAGGGCGAAGCAGGCTCCCTGCTGAGCCAGGAGCCCGATGTGGGGCTCGATCCGAGGATCCTGGGATCATGACCCAAGCCAAAGGCAGATGCTTAACCATCAGAGTGACCCAGGCACCCCTAGTAAGTATTTTCTTATATAGGCCTGCAAAGGCTGAAGCTACCTGGTATCCAGGATGGGAGTGCTGGTAGCTCTATGTATATGTTTGTTTGAGGTTTTAATCAAGTTTTCAAGGAGTAAAAAAAGAAAACACACAAAAGAATATAAATGAAATGAAAATGTCTTAGTTAAAATACTGCAAAATGCAAAACATCAAAATAAGATTTTTTTTCACATCTTTTCAAGAGCCTGATGATCCCATATATTGAGCAGAATTCTCAATCAGCACTAAAATAATGGGCAGTTGCCTTATTTTTCTTTTTAAAAAAATTTTTTAAATTAACATATAATGTATTATTTGTTTCAGGGGTACAGGTCTGTGATTCATCAGTCTTATACAATTCACAGTGCTCACCATAGAATATAACCCTTCCCAATGTCCATCACCCAGCCACCCCATCCCTCCCACCCCCCTCCACTCCAGCAACTCTCAGTTTGTTTCTCTTATTCCTTGTCTCCGTCTCTGGTTTCACCTTGTTTCATTTTTCCCTCCCTTCCCCTATGATCCTCTGGGCATTTGCCTTTTGTTTGTGTGTTTTTTGTTTTGTTTTGTTTTTATTTTTTTTCCATAGCCCAGTAGTTATACTCTCTCTCTTTTTAAAAAATTTTAAAATATTTTATTTATTTGTTTGCAGAGAGAGCGTGCACAAGCAGGGGGAGTGGAAGGGCAGAGGGAGAAGCAGGCTCCCTGCTGAGCAAGGAGCCCGATGCGGGACTGGATCCCAGGACCCTGGGATCATGACCTGAGCCAAAGGCAGATGCTTAACTGACTGAGCCACCCAGGTGTCCCTTGTGTGTGTGTTTGTATGCATATTAATGATTTCATCTCTCAAGGTTTACTTTTGTCAAGGTGAGGTCTTCCTTTTCCCTCTCCAGGTTACTAGGGAAATCTATCCACAGCAAGACTGAGGAGAAATCATCCTTTAAAAACAACTTGGTGTTGGGGTGCCTGGGTGGCTCAGTCAGTTAAGCGTCTGACTCTTGATTTTGGCTCAGGTTGTGACCTCGGGGTTGTGAGATCGAGCCCAGCATCAAGCCCTGAGTTGGGCTCAGTGTGGAGTCGGCTTGGGATTCTCTCTCTCCCTCTGCCCCTTCCCTCCTCAAATAAATGAAATTTTTAAAAAAATAAATAAATAATAACTAAACAAAAGCTGGTGTCACATCCATTTGGATGGCTACTATTTAAAAAATAGAAAACCCCAAGTATTGGCGAGGACATGGAGAAATTGGAACCCTTGTGCACTGTTAGTGGGAATGTAAAATGGTGCAGCCACTTTGGAAAACAGTATGGCAGTGCCTCAAAAAATGAAAAATAAAATTACCATATGAAGGCGCCTGGGTGGCTCAGTTGGTTAAGCGACTGCCTTCGGCTCAGGTCATGATCCTGGAGTCCCTGGATCGAGTCCCGCATCAGGCTCCCTGCTCGGCAGGGAGTCTGCTTCTCCCTCTGACCCTCACCGCTCTCATGCTCTCTCTCTCATTCTTTCTCTCAAACAAATAAATAAAATCTTAAAAAAAAAAATTACCATATGATCCAGCAGTTCCATTTCTGGGTATATATCCCAGAAACAAGGAGACCCCAAGGAACTGAAAGAGACTCAAACAGATACTTGTGCACCCATATTCATAGCAGCATCATTCACAATGGCCAAAAGGTGGAAGCAACCCACGTATCCATTGACAGATGAATGGATAAACTAAATGTGTTATGGACATATAATGGAATATTATTCAGCCTTAAAAAGGAAGGAAATTCTGACACCTGCTACAACACAGATGAACTTTGAGCACATTCTGCTATGTGAAATAAGCCAGTCACTAAAGGACAAATATTATACGACTCCACTTATATGAGGGGCCTAGAATAGTCTAATACATAGAGACAGAGGAATAGTGGTTTCCAGGAGCTGGGGGAAGGAGGAATTGGGAATTACTGTTTAATGGGTACAGAGTCTCAGCTGGGGAAGATGAAAAAGTTCTGCAGATGGATAGAGGTGAGGGTTGTACCACAATGTGAATGTTCTTAATGCCACTGAACCGTTCATTTAAAAATGATTATAATGATAAATATTCTGTTGTTTTTTGACCACAAGTTTAAAAAAAAAAAAGCCCCACCCTGGTGTTTATTTATTTTGTGAGGGGGTTAATCAGCTTTTATTTATTTAAAAAAAATTTTAAATTTAAATTAAATGTAATTAACATATAGTGTATTATTAGTTTCAGCGGTAGAATCTAGTGATTCATCAGTTGCATACAACATCCAGTGCTCATTCCATCAAGTGCCCTCCCTCATGCCCATCCCCCATTACCCCATCCCCCCATGCACCACCCCTCCAGCCACCCTCCATCGTTCCCTACAGTTAAGAGTCTCTTGTGGTTTGTCTCCCTGTTTTCATCTTATTTTATTTTTTTATTTTTATTTTTATTTTAAAGATTTTATTTATTTATTTGAGAGCAAGTACATGAGAGGGGGGAGGGTCAGAGAGAGAAGCAGACTCCCTGCTGAGCAGGGAGCCTGATGCGGGACTCGATCCCGGGACTC